AGGTATGAAGTGATATATCATTGGGGTTTTGATTTGCATTTCCCTGATGACAAATTATGTGGAGCATGTGAATATTGGCCATTTATATATCTTCTTTGGAGAAACAGCTATACAATTCTTTTGCCCATTTTCAAATTTGTTTGCTTTTTGTTATTGATTTTAGGTCTTTATATATACTGGATATTAATTCCTTATCACATATATGTAAATAAATTGCAAATATTTTCTTGCATTTTGTGAGTTGTCTTTTATGCTCAAAGGATAGTGTCTTTTGATGCACAATATTTGATTTTGATGAAGTCCAATTTGTTTATTTTTTCTTTTGTTGTCTGTTCTTTTGCTGCCAAAATTTCCCCTTATATTTTCTTCCAAGGATTTTATAGTTTTAGCTTTTAAGTTTAATCTTTGAGTTAATTTTTGTACATAGTGTAAGGCAGGGGTCGAATTTCTTTTGCATGTGGATATCCAGTTTTCCCAGCATCATGTCTTGAAAAGAAGATCCTTTCCCGCACTGAATGGTCTTGGATTCTTTGTAAAAAATCAATTGACCATAGATGAGGGCTTCTTTCTGGGTTCTCCATATTATTCCATTGGTCTGGATGTCTATCCATATACTAAAACCACACTGTTCTGATTACTCTAGCTTTGTAGTAAACTTTGAAATCAAGAAGTATGAATCCACCAACTTTGTTCTTTCTTTCTCAAGATTATTTTGGCTATTTAAGGCCAATCTTTGTTTTTTTAATAGGAGCATTTTTAAGAATAATGTATTTCCAAATTGTATTGGTTTTTTAAATAGCTTTTTCAAGATACATAACACAGTATCAGTAAAATATGAAAACTGCACTACTAATCTCAAGTGTACAACTTGATGAATATTTACATATGAATACATGCTGATAACTACCACCCTGGTCAAGACAGCAGCCCAGAACCTTCCCTTGTGATCCTTTCCCATCAATACCCCTTCTTCAGGGAGGTTTCTCAACCTGGGCACTATTGACATTTTGTGTTAGATAATTCTCTTTTGTGTGTGTGTGTGTAGGGGGGCTGTTCTGTGCATTGTAAGATGTATCCCTGGACTCTATTCAGTAGATGCTAGTGGTTTTCCCCACCCCACTGCCAGTTGTGAAAACCAAAAATGTCTCCAGACATTGCCAAATATTCCATGTGGGGCATGCCCTCAGTTGATAACCATTACCATGGAGGTAAAAATTCTTCTGACTTGCATCACCATACAGTAGTTTTGCCTGCATTTGTACTTCTGATCAATAGGATAATACCATATGTATTGCTTTGCTTATGGCTTCTTTAGCTCAATATTATGTCTGTCATATTAATCAATATTGTAGTATGTATCAGTAATTCTTTTTTTGCTGTTCTCTAGTATTCTATAGTATGAGTACACCACAATTTATCCATTCTTCTGCTAATGAGCATTAAGATTGTAATTTGAATATTATGAATAAAGTTGCTATGAACATTTGTGTACATATCTTTGATGCACAGATATGCTTATCTAGAAGTGGAATTCCAGGTTATAGCATAAGCATATGGTTAGCTTTAGTAGATATCACCAAATAGTTTTTGAAGTGGTTGAGTTGACTAACCCTCCCATATGCGAGAGTGTCAATTGCTTTATCTCTTCATCAACATTTGGTTTTGTCAGTTTTTAAAAATTTTAGCCATTCTGGTGGGAGTCCAGTGATATTTTATTGTGGTTTTAATTAACATTTCTTGATGACTACTAATGTTTAACATCTTTTTATATGATTACTGTCAATTTGTATATCCCCTTTTGTGAAGTGCTTGTTCAAGTGGTTTGCTCATTTTTTAAATTTGGATTGTCTTTTTCTTATTGATTTGTGGGAGTTCGTTATGTAACCCAGATGTAAGTCTTTGTCAGATATATGTATTGCAACTATTTTCTCCAAGTCTGTGGTTTGATGAAGTCTTCCTATGAGCAGAAGTTCTTAATTTTAAAGAGCACAATTTATCGATTTTTCCAGCTATTTCTTTTTGTCTCTGTTTAACAAATCTTTGCATACCTTAAAGTTGTGAACATAGTTTCATGTTTTCTTCTAGAAACTTTATTGTTTTGTCTTTAACATTAAATTTTTTATGCATTCTTTATTAATTTTGGAAAACAGTGTGAGAGAGGCACGTATGGTTGATTTTTCCCTCCCATGTGGATATCTAATTGCTCCAGGCCATTTATTGAAAAGGACATACTTTCACCAGTGAATTGCAGTATCACCTTTGAAGTAAATCAAGTGACTGTATATGTGTAGGTTTATTTCTGGGCTTTTCATTTTCCTTTTGTTTTTTGTCTATCTTTAACCACTGCTTTAATCACTGTGTTTTAGAGTAAGTCTTGATATCTAGTAGTGCAAGTCCTCCAACTTTGTTCTTGAGATTGTCTATCTAGATACTTTACGAAACAGTCGATTTCCATAAAACAAAACAAAATTAAATTAAATTAAAATCTGTGGTATTTTTGTTGAGTCTACAAATCAGTTTAGGTAGTATTGTTTTTATAACACTGTATATTCCAAGTCATAATCCATTTATATTTAATGTAATTATGAAGAATTTAATATCTACCACCTTATGCTTGTTTGTTCTGCTTGTTTTGTTTCTTTTTTCCTCCTTTTTTGGGCGATTTGTTTCTTTCCTACTTGTGTGGAAGTTATATACTGTTGTAAGTCATTTAGTGATTCTCTAGAAGCTACTGTGTGCATATTTAACTAATCAAAGTCAAAATTAATCAATACGTTTATCTTCCTCCCAGACAGTTTAAGACTTAGGAACACTTTAACCCCATTTAACTTCCCCCTCAACCAAAACAATTTATATGCTATCCTGGTAATGTATATTAATTCTGTCTTTTTCTTAACCTCATAAACACTATTATTATTTTATATAGTTAATGCTCATATACTTACCCAAACATGAATCTCTTTCTTTCATTTCATTGCTTATTGTATCCCAGACCTTCTATCTGGGATTAATTTCCTTTTGCCTGAATAATATCCTTTGTAATTTTTTTTGCAAATTCTGCTAATGGTAAACTCTCCATTTTGCCTGAATATGCCTCTATTTCTCCTTCATTCTTCCTAAGATTTTAAAACAATAAAAAACTTGCAAAAAACTTGAAAGTACAGTATAAATTTGTTTTCTGAATAATTTGACAATAAGTTGCCAAGTGGTGCTCCATCACCCTTGAATTTCAGTGTGTATTTTTCACAAAAGGACAAATGTTAACCAAAATCTGGAAATTAATACTGTTACTCTGCTACCATCTAATCCTCAAACCCTATTAAAATGTCACCAATTGTCCCATTAATGTTATTTATAGAAAAAAGGATTTAGCTCAGAATCACTCATTGCACATTTTTGTCTACTCAGTTTCATTTCCTCTAGTTCTCAGTCTTTCCTTGACTTTCATGTCCTTCATGCATTTGCAGATTATGAGCTAGTTATTTTTGTAAGATGTGCTTACGTTTGGGCTTGTCTGATGTTTCCTCAGTCACACTCATGTTGTGCATCTTTGGCAGGAATAGTCTGGAAGTGGCGGTGGGATTTCTGCACTGTATCCCATCGGGTGGTGTATGATCTTGATTTGTTCCATTACTGATGATGTTCACTCCTATCACTCGAGACTGATGGTCGCTGCCAAAGTTCTCCACAGTAGTCACTATTTACCCTTTTTAATAAATGTTATGTGAGGAGGTACTATGAACCTATAAATGTTCCTTTCCTCATCAAACTTTCAATTTATTCATTTACTTGTTTATATTAGTATGGACTCATGGTTTCCTAGTTATTCAATGAACTATAATCTGCTACTACCATTATTTATTGTGATACTAAAAAGTTCCCCAATTTGACCAGTGGCATCCCCTCCAAGCAAGCTTTTGTGTCCCTTTGACATGTCCCCATTCTTCCTTGAGCACTGCCTTGTTTTCCAGAACAAGATATCTCAGGTTAATCCTATATTTTCCCTGCACAGCTTAGCCTTCTCTCCAATAAGCCTTGTTCTTTTCTGTGAAGAATGGTCTCAGAAGCCAAGATCTTGGCATGAACTCTATTCATGACTATTGGGGTGTCTCTGTGACTCCCTATTGGCTCCATCTTCCAGCAGCGGTAGCTAAGATGGCCCTGGAGTTCTAGGTTCTCATAGGCCCTTAGAATCAGAGAGACCCAGTCTCTTTGGTGTTCCCATCAGCCCTATTGGCTCTGCCCAATGAGGGAGGGGTGCTTTTATTGGCCAAACCTGGGTTCCACGCCCACCCTATTTGAGGGGACGATGATGGGTGGGGCTTGCAGAATTCAGCTTCACCTAGATATATGGAATACATAGCCCATAGGTAAGATCAGGGGCAGAGGGTGGGGGGTCTCTTCCCCACCCCCGCAAAAAAAGACAAGGAAATCTAGGCCCGACAAAACAGCAGATATCTACTATAGCAAATAAGAATTTAATTTGTAAATTGTGATAACAGCTGAAAGAAGAGAATAGGATGATACATGAGAGGATCCCAGTGGGCCCTCATTTAGCCCAAAGTCAGGGGAGGCCTCTCTGGGGGGTGGCAGGCAAGAAGACACTTGAAAGAGGGGAGCCTTAGCTGGGCAAGGGGGTGTGGCCATAGTGTGGCCCAGGTTGAGGAAACCACCTGTGCAAAGGCCCTGAGGAGTAAGTTTGTCTCGGCCTGGAAGGAAGACAGTGTGGCTAGGACAGTGAGCAAGAGGAAAGCAATAGAAGATGTGGCTGGGGAGGAGGTCAGGGGACCTGGCAGGGCCTTAAAGGCCCTGACAGAGATGCCAGCTTTATGCTCAGTGGAATGGGTGCCACTGCAGGGTTTTAGGGAAGGGAGCTCAGTCTGGCTGCTGGGGGAGTAAGGATTGGAAAGCCCAGTGGGGGAGGGATTTGGGACAAAGGCACCCTTGCCACACCATGTCTTCACCTTCCCTATCTCTCTTTGAAACTATGATATGTACAGGAGCCTTTGATGAAGGAGCTTCATGCCCTGTGAGGTGCCAGGGAAGAGAAAGGATGGCACCAAAATGGCTCTGGTATGCTTCCTGCCCAACTCGCAGCTGACTTCCCTGGGTGCCTTCTCCCCCTCCCCTTCTCTGCCTGAGTCTTCTTTTCTCCATGGCACTCATGCCCCCTGATGCACAATATGCCTTACTAGCCCATTTTCTTTGTTGTTAGTCTCTTGCACTGGCATGTATCCTCCATAAATCAGGGCTTTTTATCTGTCTTGTTTACAGCTATATTCCCAGGATCTAGAGCAATGCCTGGTATGTTATAGGTGCTCAACAAAAGTTTTTGAAACAATTGAATTAATTGTGAGAAGGTCTCTAAAAGGAAGAAAAAGGTTGGAATGGTCTTATCCAGAACATGGTGCCTATCCAAGTCTTGGCCATGCAGCAGGCCTTGGGAGGCCAGAGATAGCCAGTATCTTTGGGAGTTGGTGAGGGCCAGTGGGGAAAGACTGGGTAGGCTAGTGGACATGAGTGTGAACACATGGAGTATGGGTGAGACTGGTTAACAAGCAGTCTGGACGTGGGGGCACAGGAGGGAGGCCCTGACCTCAAGATGCTTCAGAGGCAAGCTCCCTTCAATGCGGGTAATGCAGGTGGGGGAGGGGGAACAGGTGACATCTGTCCTCATCCCTTGGCATTCTTCTAGTTGTCCACCCTACCTTTGCCCCACTGGCCTTTCTCTATTTCTCACACATGCCACACTCATTCTCATCTCAGGGCTTCTGCACTTGTTTCTTCTGCCAGGGAGGTTTCTTCCAATCTATAAAATGGGCATAATAAAGTGAAGTGAGGCCTACATCAGATAATGTATGCATAGCACAGGGCATGGTGCCTGCAACAAGAAGGGTTTATTACTGCTGTTGTTCCGCAAATTTTATTGAGTCCCTACTGGGTGCTAGGCACTATTTCAGGCACTAGAGATACAATAGTGATATGACATTCTAGTTTGGGGACATAGGCAGACCTTCCCCCCGTTCTTTGCATGGTTATCTCTTTCTTGTCATCCAGGTCTCAGCCCAATTATCAATTCCTCTGAGAGGACTTCCCTGACCGTTCAGTCTGCGTTAGCCATCCCTCTATTGTTACTTTTGCAGTTTAAGTTATCAATTGCTATTTAGCAAAGCTCCTACAGCTTAGTGATTTGGAAGTTCACTCTGGCTGCTGGGGGAGTGGGGGTTAGAGAAGCCCAATTTCTTATGATTTTGAAAAATTTTTATTAGTATTTTTTAATCAAAGTGTGATTAACATACAATATTAGGTGTGTATCAGGTGTACAACATAGTGACTCAACGTTTAAATACATCACAGTGTGACCACCAAGATAAATGTAGCATCATCTATCACCATTCAAAGTTGTTACAATATCATTAACTATATCCCCTATGCTGTACATTATATCCCCATGTTTTATTTATTTCATAACTGGAAGATTTTACCTTTTAATCTTTCCCTATTTCACTGATCTCTCTATGCTGCTCTTCTTTGGCAACCACCAGGTTGTTCCTTGTATGTATGAGTCTGTGTCTGTTTTGCTTTTTTTTCAGATTCTAGTAAAATCACATAGTATTTTTCTTTCTCTGTCTGATTTATTTCACTGAGCATAATACTCTCTAGGTCCATCCATGTTGTTGCAAATGGCAAGATGTCATTATTTTTTATGGCTGAATAATATTCCATTATGTATATGTACCACATCTTCTTTATCCATTCACCTACTGATGGACATTTAAGTTGTTTCCATTTCTTGGCTATTGTCAATAATACTGCAGTAAACATAGGAGTGAAGATCTTTTTGAGATGGTTGGGTTATTAGTTTTTTTTTTTTTTGGATAAGTACCCAGAAGTGGGATTGCTGAGCTGTATGACTATTCTGAAATTTTACAGGACTCAGTGGGGTGGCTCTTCTGCTCTACATGGTATACACTGAGATTGCTTGGGGAGGGTGGGGCTGGAGTATCCAAGATGACCTTCGTCTTCTAGAGTCTCTCTTCACATGGTGTCATCATTCTCTAGTCTAGCCTGGGCTTCCTTGCAGCATGGTGGCTGGGCTCCAGAAGGAAAAGGCTGCCAGTTCCCTTAAGGGCTAGGGCAGAAAATGGCACATGGCCAGGTCCGCAGCATTCTGTTGGTCCAAGTAAATAGTAAGATGATCCCAGACTCAAGGGCAGTCTGTCCTCTTGATAGGAGCAGGAAAGAACTTGTGGCATCTTTAACCCACCACACTGTTCATCCGATTCACTTGTTTAGCTTTCTTTACCACTTGACATAATTTTATCTTTTTCATGTTTTTTTTCTTCTTCTGCCTTAAGATAATGAGAACTAATAGATTAACTGGACTTTGGTTAATATATTCCCTTTCTCAATAGCAAGATGCATTAATTTTACTAGGATGTGCCCTTAAGAAGGTAGATACTGCAAAGCTTTTAAGAGGTATTATTAACAGTGGGGTTTCAAACCCTTTCTGTCCCATCAGCTCCTGCCTCTTCTCCCTCAGGTGACTGGAGAGGGCATAATGCTTTGTAGTCCCTGATATCTGATCCTCCTCCAAATGCTGGCCTTCAGGGATTACCCAGGACCTCCTGCTACAAGCACAATATTCTCAAATCGTCACCCCACCCCAAGTTCCCTGTGGCTTTTCATTTCTCTGGAACTGATGCTGGGGGCTGGCCTCTAGGGAGGAGCTGGCTGTCAGTGGCAGAAGCTAATGGGGATGTACACATAGGCCCTGAGGCCTGGGTTCAGAGTGCCTCTCACATTGTGGCTTTGCCCTCTGCTGCTGCTGAGGTCCAGAATGTCATCACCCTCCAGAAGAGCCCGGCTACATCAGCCCTAGAAGGGGAAAAGAAGACCATTACGGAGAAGATGATGGTGCGGAGGCCACATGTGGGTCTGTGGCTTTGGGGTAGGGAGGGGATGGAAGTTCTGAGTCCCCCCACTGATGAGAACTGGAAAGGGGGATTGAGGTGGGAGGAGGCAGGACTCTTGGACCTGAGTCTCAACTCCACCTCTGCCATCCACATGCCCTGAAAGCTTTGGCAAGTCACTCCTTCCCTCACACACAAACGGCTGTGGTAACACCTGTCATTGGCTGGTCGGAAGGACACAGCTTTGTGCCAGTCCGTGGTCTAAATATGCCCCACCCACCACCACGAGGCTGCTGAAACATTTCTTGCTGAGCTCTGCCTGTGGGGTTCAGCTGGGTAGCACGTGGGGAGTGTTGGTGGCCTTGAACTGAAAGCTCAGGACGGGGTCTGAGCAGTGAATTGGCTCTCCCCACTGGACTTCTGGCCCGGCATGCAGGTGGGGGTGTCCTGCCCAGGCCGAGGGGCTGCTATGGCCTGTTCCCTGTGAAGAGGGTGGCCCCAGCCCTGGCGATCTGCAGTGGCCTGTCCCCCTCACGGGACTCTTTGCTTCTTGTCCAGAGGCAGATCCAGGGGGAGCCGCTGGATTCTCTTGAGCTCCGCCCACCGGCAGGCCAGGAGACCCTGACCCAGCTGAGGTGTCCCCAGCCCCTCTCAGCCTCCAGCCCCTTCCCTTCTTGCAGGGCCTCCTGCCTCTCTGGAGCCTGCCCACTGGGCCCGCCTCACCCCTGTGGTTTTTCCTCTCCCCTTGCCTAGTCCCTGCTGGGGTTGTCTGCCCTCCACACCCACTTCCCTCCTCCCACCTCATCTTGCTCTTGTGTGGATCTCTGAGGCCAAGCCCTGAGACCCCATCCCAGGCCTGAATCCTTAACCTCCTGCCTCTAGCCACAGACCCCTCTCACACCATGCCTTTGCTTTCTGACTCCTCCCCAGTCACACCCAGCCTGTCCTGAGTGTGCAGGAAAGGTCAGAGCAGGTGAACACATGTGTGAAGAGTGTGTTCTCCCTGCCTTCTGTGCAGGCCATGCAGGAGAAGGAGGCCAAGGCTGAGGCCATACAGGTGAGGCGGGTCCCTCTGCCGCAGGTCCTCAGGGAAGTTGGTGTCTTAGAGGGACGCATGTTCTGGACTCCTATCAAGGAGAGAAAGGGAAAGGAGGGGAAGGTACATATGGATCTTTACCCTCCTACTCAAGCTGCAGGGCCTTAGGCAATCCATCTCATCTTTCTTGGCTTGAGTAGGCACTCAACAAATATTTGGTAAATGAATGAATCTTTAGAATAAGGAATCCCTCATCCAGATCCTTGCCCTAAGAGAGGGATGTGGGCATATGTTGGCATGGCCAGAGTTGATGGTCAGGATTGGGAGGATAGCTGAGAAGTAGGCGAGCTGGGCATGAGACATGTAGAAGAAAAACCTCACAGGGCTCCTGTGAGCATCTTCAGACCTCTGCATGGTTGTCCTGGGGGGAAGTGAGCAGAGGTGACCCTTAGCATAGAATGTTGGGTCAGGGGAGGTCCAGGGAGAGGAGTTTTGGCTCAGAGGGAGGCACATTTATTCATCCTCTCATTCAGTAAACATTAACTGAGTGCCTACTCCAGAAGTATTGGGGGAAGATTCAGTAGGGTCAAGGGCAGTGGGGGAGATGGGCATTATCAAAGAACCTTACAAATAAATGCAAAATTACAATAGTGATAAATGTTGCAAGCAAGAAGTACTTGGTGCTATAAAGAACTTGGAATGGGGGTCCTGGCCTAGGCGGGCATCAGAGGCTATGGTGCTGGAGTGTAAGAGGTTAAAGAAGAGCTGATTAGCTGAAGAGGATGGGAGAAAGGAGAACATACCAGGCAGAGGGAATGGCCTGTGGACCAAGAGGACATGTCAACCACAAAGATGACAAAGAGGCAGTGTGGCTGGAGCCCAGAGGTCGAGGCTGGGAAGTGAAGCTAGAGAGTGGTGGGGGCCAGACCACGCTGGCAGCTGAGGGCTCTGGGTCCTGGGAGGTGTACTGAGAGAGGACCCCGAGGAAAGGGGAAACAGGCAGCCCTCTTGCAGTACAAGGCCCTGCCAGCAGGGGCCAGTGCTGCACAGTGATGGGCTGCAGAAGGGTGGGAAGGAGGAGGTAGTTGGCAATGAACTTGCTTGGTGGTTGTGGTGTAACTGTGACAAGCACAGATGCAGGAAGCTGGGGCAATGACAACCTGGCAGACAGATGTGGGCAGCTGGTGAGAGGAGGGAAGGCAGGAGAAGAAGGGTCTCAAACCCACTGCTCCGTCTTAGTATGTGTAATGCCTGTAGCTTCCTAAGACAATTCCAGGACTGGGGCAGTGGTGGCGGGAGGAGGAACCCAAGCAGGTGGGAGATGGCTCCTGGAAGGGGCAACTTAGAAAATCTATCTGGGTGTAAGAGTAGCAGTTAAAAAAATAATTAAAGCACAGACCCCTCCCATTTATCTAGTTCTAGAGCATTTTCCCAACCATCCTCCCACTTTTTTCCCATGAATAAAAATTTCCTTTTGCGTGACTTTGGACAACTGTCTTCTCATTCAGAAAATGAAAACACTTTGAGATGTTTTGTGTTTGTCTCAGCTCATCAATAACCAATGTTGTGGTTGGACTGGATCTTGCAGTTCTTACAATTGTGAGATACCCTGAAGCCATAGCCATCAGGAAACTCAGAAAAAAATACAGGTTTATTATCACTTACAGAACTTGGAAGTTACACAGCATACCTGGGGCCACAGAGCAAAAGAGCTGAAGGGCGCCAGGGTCTGAGGTTTTGCTTTTATTGGGGTCCAGGGTGGGGGCCTGCAGATTCACAGGCTCATTCTTTATTGGTGAATTTAAAACGTAAAAGTGAGATTTTAAGCACAGAAGGAGGAAAAAAACAAGTGGGCCTAACTATCAGTGATTGAAATCAACCAAGACCTCTAAAACAAAGGAGCCTCAATGGGGGGAGGCTTCCGGCTGTTTTTCTGGTGTTTGGCTTGGGCAATGTGTTTATTTGGGATAGCCACCTTTGAAATGGATGCCTCTTTGAAATGGATGCCTTGGCAATCAAAGTTTAAGTCAGGCACTTGGATTATTACAAAGAAAAACTGCCAGGGTTTACACTAGGGAGGACAAAGTGATGTAGTGGAGCAAATCGCCAAGTGCTCGCTTGGCCCCTGGTAGAGTCAGTGAATGCTGGGTTTCTCCTTCCTCTCCCTGTAAGGTAAGAAGCGTGTCGGGGGTGGGGGTGGGGGTGGGACTAGGTCTTTTCTCTCTCCATTCTTGTCCCTGACTCTCTCGTCCAGCCTCATGACCCTCTACCTTTCATCTCTGTCCTCACTGACCTTGTCTTCCCTCTGCCCTTGTAGTCCTGTTCTCCGCTTCTGGGCCCCACAGATCCTTGTGTTCATAAAGAGGACGAGGGCTATGGGGGGTTCCCTTATCGCCTCCCCAGACACTTCCTGAAGGCTAGCCTGCCCACCTCAGCAGCAGAGACTGCAGCTGAGTCTTGCCCTTGTCCTCACAGGCTCTGGGGCCCGGGATGAACTCTGGGAAGACCCATGAGCCAGCACAGCAGTGAAGAGCAATGTCTCTGTGCTGAGCCACATGCTTCTGACCCTGCCTTTCTTTGTGAGTCGTCCCTGGGAAGGGAGTCCCTCCTAGGGAGAATCTTTCCAGCCCTGAGGGAGCCTCTACGTCAGTCCAGAGAGTCCCAGGTGGCCCTTGCTGTCCTCAGAGGGCTCTACGCCCAGGGCCAGACCCCCCACTCTGTTCACCACTTACTGTACATTGTTGAACCTATAAGGCTCGGTCCTTAAAATCATGGCACAAACAGATGTCCTCGAGGTTCCCGGCACTGGGGCGTCTGCTGGGGAGGCTCATCCTGCACATCGGGGATCCCGATGAGGAGATTGGTGGAGAAGCTCTGAACGGCATCACCATCCTTTACACCCTCCTGGAGCTCCAAAAATGTAAGTCCTTTGGAACCCTCTGAGACAAGGCTTCTGAGCAGGTGCTCCGCCTGGGCATTAATGTAGCTCTGGCAAAAAGGCAGCAGTGGGAGATGGAAGAGGCCAGCACAGGGTCTGAAGGGGTCTGTGGAAGCTGGTGTGAAGTATTAGTCCCCATAGAACAGGGGATTCTCCCATTCCCGGGGCGCTGTGTGCACCCAGGCGTGACAGCCCTGCCTGTTTCCTGGTCCCTCTTCCCCACCAGACTATGATCCCATTTAAGGGCAGAACAGGCTGTGTTCCCAAGGACTAGCCCTGGGCCTGGCACATGTTGGGTGCTCAGCGAATAGTTATGGAAGGCATGAACAAAGAACAGATATTATCTTAGAATCTGGAGTGGCTAAAGCCTATAGGTGGGGGAACTCCCTGGCCTTAGTCTTAGGGAGCTAGTGATGAGACGTCGGCTGGCACAGGCATCCTGCTGGCACTGAACCTAGAGAAGCCCAGGATCAGTTCTTACCTGGCTTCTTCCTTTCTCTACAGTCCCAACTCTGTCCTGAACCAAGGGACCGTGGCCTGTTGTTTAAACCTTGGCACTGGAGGCAGAGTGACCTGGGCATAAGACCTGGCTCTGGCCCTTCCTAGCTGTGTGATCTCAGCTAAGCAATCTTTTTGTCCAGGCCCAGATTTCCCCAGCTGTAAAAATGGGTACGATAGGATGTAACTCATAAACGTTTCAAAAGACTAAATGAGATAATCTATGTAAAGAGTCCAGCTCAGTGCCACACATAACAGGCACTTGCAAATAGAGTTTCCCTTTTCCTGTCTCTATAAGCATCAAGTTATAAGTTCCAGCCTTTGGGGATCTGTCTGATCTCCCTGCTTTTCTTGATCTCTAGAATTTGGGGCAAAGATTTGGCTCCTAGGAGATTTTCCCACAGCCTAGAAACCACTCATACCTCCTGAGTGATGGGTGAAGGTGGTATAAGCCATATGAACAATTAGGCTCATGGGCAGGAATAGTATAGACCAAATTAGTATCACCATATTTAGCAGATAAAGATATAGGACACCCAGTTAAATTAAAATTTCAGATACACAGTGAAAAAGTTTTGATACATTTGAAACATTTACTAAAAATTATTTGTTTATCTGAAATTCAGATTTAATTAGGCAACCTCTATGTTATCTGGCAAACCTGGGCCAAACCCACATGGTCAGATTCTCAAGAATTAAAATGGTTGTCCAGCCCCCTTAACTATAGGAAGGAGCAAAGCCAGGTTCTGAACTTCGGTTTGTTCTATTCCAGGTCTTGAGCTTTTTTCCTTTACAAACAACCCACACAGTGAGTCCATATGGTCCATGTACCTTGATGGCCCTTTCTTATGCCCGTGTCTTGTATACCCTGGGGGACCCAGGTAGGACCCAGGCCCAGCCACAGCAAGGGCTCAGGAAATGTGCCTAAAATGTGTTTCCTTCAACAGAAAATATGGTGCCACCATGTGTCAGATGCTATTCTAGGTACTGAGACAGCGCTGAAGAAATAAATATTGATTAATTAAATAATCCTCCCTGCCTAGCTTACCTTCTTGTTATCAGAAGACAATGAGCAAAATAAACAGGGAATACGTAGAGTAAGTCAGATGATGACAAGTACTACAGGGAAAAAAGCAGAAAAGGGGGATCGGAATGCTGGGAGTAGGGGGATTGCAATTTAAAAGACGTATTGCCACTCATCCACCAGAATGGTGAAAATGAGGCACACGGACAATGCCATGTCCTGGTGAGATGTGAGTCCCCTGGAACACTCATACACTGTCAGCAGGAACAGAGCTGGTCCCCAATGAGGAAATCGCAGCATCTCCTGAAGCTGAATCTATGCTTCCCCTAGGATGCAGCAGCTCCCCTTTGCTATATGCCTACAAATGTGGTATAGTCAGTCACCAAAAGGCATGGACTAGACATACTAGGATGGTTGTAGCCGCACTATGCATAACAGCTGGAAACAGCCCAAATATCCATCAGAAAAAGAACATATAAGTAAATTATAGTATTTTCATACCAAGGAAATGTACTGGGCACCAAGAATGAATGAGCCAATGCTATTTGCAACAGTGTTGGTGAATCTCGTCCACACCAGGGTGAGTGAAAGCCAGGTACAAAGGATCACATACTACACAAAGTCTAACAGCAAGGAAGTCTGATCTGTGAGCTTAGAAGACAAAATAGTGGTTACCCTGGGTGGGGAGAGGGATTGTGGACCAAAAGAGGAGCACAGGAGGGGCCTCTGGGGTGCTGATACTGTTTCTTGACCTGGGTGCCGTCTACATGGGTATGTTCACTGTGCGAAGATGTATCAAGCTGATTACTTATGATTTATGCACTTCCTATATCCACCTTCAACAAAATGTTAAAAACAAAAAAGTGTGGTCTGGCCCCACTGAGAATGTTCTTTTCTTGCAGGACCAATAAGGAGCTGTACAAGAGCAACAAGCATAACCTAGGGCCCTATCACCCTGTCAGCCGGTGCCAGGACATTCTGCGTGTGGTTGCGGTGACTGCCGGCTGCCCATCAACCCTGGGCCTTTCCAGGGATGGGAGTGGGGGGCAGTGCTGGACAGCTCCGATGCCTTCTCCTCCCATTCCCTCTTTCCAAGCTCAAGGCCCTTTATAGAAATCCTTCGCTGCCTACATGGGCCCACCCTGAGTGACCCCTCCTCCTCTGGTCTGGGCCATAGCATGTGGGCTATGACTTCCTTCGGGAAGCATGTCACCCAGTTCTGAGGGCAGGCCATATCACACCTTCTTTTGTGGCTTTTCCCCAAATTGTTTGACACTCACAGAGTAACTAAATGTGCAGGCCCTCCCTGCTCACCTCTATGTGTGCCCGGCATATTGTGCATGTGTATATGGCTCGCTCTGGGTCTGTGCATGGGTGTCAGTATCTCTGTGCCTTTATTTCAGGAATTTGGAGACTTTCTAGGGCCCCAGCAGGTAAAGGATCTGCTTCTAGCAGCGCTGGAAGGGCTGCAAGGTGACTCAAGGCTCAGGGGAAGGACTTTGGGGAGATGAGGCAGCTGGCCTCAGAGGTCACTCTCAGCTCCGTGCTGGAGTGGTACAGCCACAGAGCACTGGAGGTGGTAAGGCCCCTGGGGGCAGTGGCATACTGGGAGACCCCACAGGGCCTGCTTACCCTCAGGACCTCCTGACTGGCAGTGGGCATGGTGGGGGTGCCTGGGCCCTAAGCACCGGGGCAGGGCAGAGGGCATGGGGGTGACTGAGCTCTAGGCACTCCCAACTTGCAGGTGAGGAAGAGCTCACTTACCAGCCCCTGGGAGGACTCAGCCAGCCTGGTAAGGGGTGGGGAGGGCAGTGGAGTTCAGCAGGCTCAGCCCCAGGGAAGGAACCTGTGCCACCTGCCTCTCCCCTTTTCTGTCCTGAGCACTCTCTTTCTCCTCTTCACTGTCCCTCTATCCTGTCATCTCCAATTCCTCCTCCCCTGCCCCCCACCTCCCCGTCTTCCTTGGCTTCTCTTTGGTCCTCTGACTGCTCACGGCTGCCCTGGCTCTGCCCCAGATCCCAGAAATCATTCAGGGCATCTATGTGCAGCTGAGCCCATCCAGGAGCCACGGGCCCGTGTGGTGGCCCTGCTGCCCATCTCCCTCCTGGTCAGCTCCTCCTTGACCAAGGTTGTTGTGGCCCTGCTCGTGTGCCCCCTCCCGCTGGACAGGTACCAAGTGAGAGGGCTTCCCAGCCACTACATCTCAGAGGGTGGAAGTAGCCCCCATCCTGGTCTGACTCCCTCTTTCTGCCCAGAGAAGCCCCGTGTCCTCCCAGGTGGCCCCTCTTCCATGACCTCTGGTGCTTTGACAGCCATTAAGCACTTCCCTAGCACTGTGAAGTGTCAGTGCAGAGCATCAGTACATTCTCTCATTAGTACAACAGCCCCATTCTACAGATGAGGAAACTGAGGCTCAGGGAAAGTTTTTTGCCCTAGGCACTCAGGGAGCAAGCACAGAATGAGGACCTAAACTCAGATTTGACCACCTCCAAGCCCAGAGCTTTTTAGTGATGCCACGGAAAGGAGGTCTGAGTGTTGGCCCTGACTCGCCCCCAGCTGCTATGTGGTCTTAGGCAGCTCACTTGCTGTCTCTGGGCTTTAGTTTTTCCCCATAGCCAAGAAGAGGAAATAATCTCTGCAAAATTCCCACCCTAGATGGGTGGTCATAACAAGTAATTCCACCAGCTGTGCTGAGGGCCACCTGGCCTGGGCCTGGCAGGAGGATGCACCATGCTGTTAGCCTTCAGGGACTCCTCGTCCGTCCGGTGGGCAGAAGGGACTGTGGCCAGATGGTGAGGCCTGAGCAGAGGAAAGCAGTCTGATGGCTCCAAACCCCCAGCCCAGGAATCGGCTCCCACAGCTCTGAATGAATAAAACAAGGCAATAAGCATGTGATCCACACCTTAAGGTGGTTGGTTGGTTGTGAGTAAATGTAAAAAACTGTGTGGAGCTATGCAGATGGGCTGCCCTACTAAGGAGAGTTGGTGTCGTTCATAGAAGAAAAGGTCAGTTGGGATGGCAAGGGCTGGTGCCACATCCGCATCATCCCACCAGGAAGAAATTAACCCTTTCTGGCCACACTGCCCACCAGGGGGGCTTCTTGGAATTGTTTATCATTCAGACTCAAAGACTAGTAGGGCCACATCTGGCATCAGAGTGGTTGGGGTATAGAACAGGGCAGTGGTAGGGGCTCTCTCTGCAGCAGAGACAGAGCTGGGACAAAACTTAAGGAGGCCCTGGCTTATGGGCCACACCTGCACTTGCCCAAGCCTGAGAGTAAGGGCCTTCTTAATTTTGTGCCCTGGAGGCCTCACTCCCCTCACCCTAGTTTTGGCCGTGGGTGTAAGAGTTGGTTTCTTGGGTCTGCCAGGTGAAAGGTGCAGGAGCTTCCTAGGCTTAAATGGGTCAGGCCTCCCAGGAACTAGTATCTCTTAGAATAACTCTGTAGACTTCACTTCTGGGGTCCCCACAGGAAAAAGCCTAGTCATAAGTGTCACCACACCCTGGGAAGCTCAGTGTCCCCAGAGGTTCTTATAGTTAATTTATAGTTCCTTCCAGCCCAGACGCAATTTACCAATCGGGTCATTTTTACCATAAGCAATGTTGCCTAGCAACATAGTTGATATACTATCTTTATCAGGTTTCCAGGGGAACAGAGCTAGGAAGTTAATGGAAGGTTCAAATGCTCCTGCAGAAGGGGGAAAGGGTTCTATTAACCCTTTAGTGCACAGGCCTGTTAGTGCTTTCAACTCCCCAGAGCAGGAGTGCCACAGGCTGATGCTGGCAGGCACAGACCCCCTTGCCTGGCATACTGCTTTCTAAGGGACAGGAGTGGGTGCTTCTGATGTTCTGTGACAAATGCAGGCCCCAGAGGGCCCCTTGGCATAGAGGAAAGAGCATACTTTGGAGACATCAGACCTGGGCACTTCCTGAGTGCAGCTCATTAGCTGTGTAGTGTGGGACTGGTGATCCTGCCTCTCAGCCTCAGCTCCACATCTGTAAAATGGGATAACAACCCACCCTGAGGGTCACTGTAAGAATTCAGTGAGCCTGAATGTCTTGAATATCTTGTTCACTTCCATATGCCCAGAGATTTGCCTAGTGCCTAGCACACAACAGATATTCAATATATGCTGAAGTAATAAATTGTATATAAAGTACTTGGCATGATACCTGGGAAATAGGGTTTTCAATAATTGTCAGCATCCTGCCCCTTAGGGAATGTTTTCTGGAACATTCCTTGATGGTGTACCCATGGATGCAATTTCAACAGCATCTTCCCCTCTCCTTCCCAAAATCACTGGGAGGCAGGGTGAGCCCCACTGCCCTGGTTCCCACAAACCCTCCCTGCCTGTGACCTTCCAGCCATGGAGCAGAGATGGGGAGGCAGCTGATCCTGCGCAAGCCCAGCTGTGATATCCAAGACCTCCTGGATCTGCTCCTGGACAGCCTGAAGGAGAAGCCTGTTACCAAGAAGGGCAGGGCCTCCACCGTGCCCCTAGCGGTGAGGACGTGCCCCACCTGCCCCATCTCTGCCCCATCCAGCACCCCTCGCTCCTTCCCTCCTACTGAGCTCAGCACACCCAGCTTCTGGTGCCCCGCTCTGCAAATAAGTAGTGGTGTGGCTTGGGCAGATCTGTCCCTGGGCTCTTCTTTGTGATCCACCGAGTGACAACAGTACTGCTGCTTACAGTGACAGCAGCAGCCTGAGATGGGGGAAAGGCAATGACCTGGGACTCACAGACCTTAGTCTGAGAATTTGGCTTAGTTCCATTACTATTTTGTGACCTGAGCATGTCACTTCACTTCTCTGAGGCTCGGTCTCAGCATCTGTAAATGGAAATAATATTGTGGGTTATGATCACATGAGATACCTCATTAATTCCTTTAGTGACACAAAATGTTCAAGCATGTCTCATTGCCACACTCTTAGAGTTCAGCCCTGGAAATACAGAGGGAAAGGTGAGTCTGACTGCAGAAGGTGATGAGGCAGAGACAGATTTCTCTCTGCCTCTGTGACTACCGCCCTAGTCCTACCCAGCTGGATAACACCCTGCTCATCTCCTTGTTTGCACTCCAGCCCCTCCAATCTGTACTGTGGCCAAAAAAGCCTTTGAGAAATACATGTCTGCCCTTCTCAGCCTCCTCAGTGGCTTCCCATTGCCCTTGAGAGTAACAATGTTCCTACCTGTGCTGCAAAGCCCCATCTGTACCCACCACTGCCATACTCCCTGGTCCTCCTGCTCGCACAGCTCCAGCTTCACTGGTCTTTGTCAGAACTTCATACACACAATGCCATCTTCTGTCACGGGGCCTTTGCATGTGCTGCTCCCTCTGCCTAGACTGCTCTCCACCAAGTTAACTTCTACTCACCCCTCAGCTCTCAGCTCAAATATCACCTCCTCAGGGAATTCCTCACCTATCTCCCTGACCAGATCAAATCTGTGAATAACATCCTTTGTTTTATATACATTATCTCGGGAGCATTTACTCAAGATGTGATTTGACAATTTAGTGTAAGAGTCATTTAGCTAATCTGTGAGATGTGTGCATGTAATGCCTGAACCTGTTTTGCTCAACATGATATCACCAGTGTCTAATGTATACCTGGCACATAGTAGACCCTCCAACAAATTTTGTTGGCCAGATTTATTTATTAAATATTTGTTGAGCATGTACTATGTTCTAGGCACTCATAAATCTTGGGGACTCAGCAAAACATTCTCTGATGGAGGGAAGCAAATAAAGATATGATGGGTGGAAGAGCAGGTGGTCCCCATTTACAGAGGACACTGCTGCTCAGTCACATTCTAGGTCTCAGCCAAGGCCGCAGAACTGAATGGTAGTGGCAGGACTCAGACCCAGATCTCCTATCTCTGAGTCCCGTGCTTCTCTACCTGATCTATGTTCCTACCTGTGCTGCAAAGCCCCATCTGTACCCACCACTGCCATACTCCCTGGTCCTCCTGCTCGCACAGCTCCAGCTTCACTGGTCTTTGTCAGAACTTCATACACACAATGCCATCTTCTGTCACGGGGCCTTTGCATGTGCTGCTCCCTCTGCCTAGACTGCTCTCCACCAAGTTAACTTCTACTCACCCCTCAGCTCTCAGCTCAAATATCACCTCCTCAGGGAATTCCTCACCTATCTCCCTGACCAGATCAAATCTGTGAATAACATCCTTTGTTTTATATACATTATCTCGGGAGCATTTACTCAAGATGTGATTTGACAATTTAGTGTAAGAGTCATTTAGCTAATCTGTGAGATGTGTGCATGTAATGCCTGAACCTGTTTTGCTCAACATGATATCACCAGTGTCTAATGTATACCTGGCACATAGTAGACCCTCCAACAAATTTTGTTGGCCAGATTTATTTATTAAATATTTGTTGAGCATGTACTATGTTCTAGGCACTCATAAATCTTGGGGACTCAGCAAAACATTCTCTGATGGAGGGAAGCAAATAAAGATATGATGGGTGGAAGAGCAGGTGGTCCCCATTTACAGAGGACACTGCTGCTCAGTCACATTCTAGGTCTCAGCCAAGGCCGCAGAACTGAATGGTAGTGGCAGGACTCAGACCCAGATCTCCTATCTCTGAGTCCCGTGCTTCTCTACCTGATCTATCCTCTCTCCACCAACACTGAGTCTATGAATAAGGCACCAGCCCCATTCCTTCTCTGATCTGGGCATTCATGCACTCTCCCTTCAATCAGTGTGTGGATGTATCCTCAAGTCACTCATTCATGCTTGTTGTTTAACATAGTTTAAGATAGATACAGCCTGGAGTGAATTTTATCTTATGGTATTGATAAACCATCTGAGCAAGACTGAGGCAAGAGCAGAGCCCTAAGGTACATCGCTAGAGACTTTTCTCTATACTATAGACTGTTCTTTGGGCAGTCATTAGCTTTGAGCTACTGAAACATGTAAAGGCTTTGAGTCTAAAAGGTTTGTCTTAGCTCTGCCACTGAATTATTATATAACCTTGGTCATGTACTTACCCCTCTCCAACTTTGGTATTTAGATTTGTAAAATTGGGAGCAATAACCCATGCCTTGTCTATCTTATCCTGGGAAAAGTATGTGTAAGGGCTTCCTAAGCTGTAAAGTACAAATAACTGCCATTTATTCTCCTCTAACTCACACATGTCACTTATTTACCTGAGAACATACCACAGGTTGTTTTACTCCACAGTTACATGCTTTTCCCTTGGGCCAGCAGGATGGGGTCTTGGTGGCATAGATCTTGACCACTTCTTTATAAAACATTCTTACCACTCTTCTCATTGAATCTTCACCACCTTGTGGGCTGGCTGAAAGAGGAGCATTGACCTCACTTTACAGAGAATTAATCTGAGGTCCACAGAGAGGCCGGGGAATGGTGGAGCCAGACTGAGCCATCAGGTCTTGTGACCCTAGCCCATAACCTCCCCTGTTCCCTGTATTGTCCTCTTGCCAGTTAGAGAGGACTTGGTGGGCTGAGTGTGAGGGGTGGGCTCAGGCCAGGACCAGAGCTGGGTGGCAGGTAGAGAAATTGGAGGGTGAATGCAAGATGGGTCCCAGGGAACACCCTGGGCCAACCTCCAGTAAAGCCAAGTTCTTAGGACTTGAGAGGGCTGGCATGGGGAGCCATCATCTGGAAGGGGCAGTGGTGTGAGGCAGGTGGGCATAGAGTGAGAGTCCTAGGATTGGTGCTCCTTGGTGCCTGCTCAAGGATGGGGTTTGTTTCCCTTAGCTGCTGGCCACATAGGAAGACAGTGAGGGCAGCCTGGTTTAATGGCCCAAAGTGAAGAGGAAATTGGTGCTCCTCATGGTCTGTGTGCCTGTGGTATGACTGAGGACGAGGCAGGGAACACTACACCCTGTAACTGAAAACCTGGGTTCATGCCCCAGCTCTGACCCAAGGGACTGGATGATCTTAGGCAAGTCCCTTCACCTGTTTAAGCTTGTCTCCTCATCTGCACAGTGGGGTGAACACTACCTCACAAGACGTGGGAAGGGATCCCTCCACCATGATTCTTCCAGGGTTGTGTCCATGTCAAAGAGGCAGGCTGCTGTCATTGTTCCAGGGCAGGGCTCACCCAGAGACCCAGGACTCAGAGTGCAGTGGGGTGAGGGTGGGGGAATCTGCAGAGAAGAGCAAAGTTCCGGCCCAGCCTCCTAGAGAAGTAGTTCAGGCCCCTTCCAGGAATACTGAGACGATGGGCCAGGACCTCCCACCAGACTCCCCTCCACCTCTAGGCAGCGAGCGGTCTATGTGAGCTTCTGTCCATCAGCAGTTGCATGGGCCATGTGAGGCGCATCTCCCCCCAGCTGCTGCAGGCGCTGCTCATTCAGGTCCATTACCACATCGGCCTCAACCTGCCTGGCCACGTGGCTGCCTGCAAGGATGTCAAGGACACCCAGCCCTCTATCTCTGGCCCTGTGTGGTATGCTCCTACTGTCCCTGGCAGGGGGTGGGTGTGGACCTCCAGCAAGGGTCCTTCCGAAAGTTTTTAGGGCAATTGATCAGCAGAAATTAGCTTTGGGACTAGATGAGAAAACAGAAGCACACTTTTATGAGAGCCAATAATTTGTTCAACAGCTATTCTGAGCCCCTGCTGTGTGTGTCAGACTGTTTAGTGCTGGACCTCAGCAAGCAATCAGCCCTCCCACAAGGAGCTCAGAATTTCATATTTCTTCCTCCCTCCTTGGAGATGCTTATTTGTATTAGATTTGTATCCAAGGCCAGGCCATTTTATTTTTAATTATTGATTGGTATAGGTAATACAAGCACATGGACAAACAGCTCAAGACATTAAAAGTTAGTGTCATTTCTTCCCCATAACCTGGTTACCCTCCCCAAAACAACCAGTTTCTTTCATGCCCTTCCAGAGTTGGTTTAGGCAGAGATAAGTGTACATGTTTATATTCTCTATTTTTAGACCAATAGTAGGTTAACATATATGGTTATACATTTGTGCTGTTAGCATAGACTATGTCTTGGAGATCACTACGGATAGAGCTGCCTTCTTATTTTTAACAGCTGAAGAATATCCCTACATGTACAATTCCAATACACTGTAATTTATTTAACCAGGTTTCTCTTGATTTAGATATTTTGTAGCCCTTTGCAATTATAAGCAATGCTTCAGTGAGTTAGTTTGTTTATATGTTATATGTTATGCACACGTGATTGTCTGTGTAGGATGGATTCCTGAAAATAGGATGGGTACATCAAGGGTTTCTGCATTTAAATATTAAGGTGGGACAGGAATATGTGGTGGGAAAGTTGTTGGTCAGTGAGTGATGTAGGGGAAAACGGTGTGCCTCCTAAAGTGCCTGACTTGCAAATTGCCTCCCCAGAGGGTACTGCCACCAGCAGTATATGAGAGTGTCTATTTTCCCATCCCTTTGCAGCACAATGTAGTATTAAACATTTTTATCTTTACCAAATTGAAAGTTGAAAAAAAAACGTATTTTGCTGTAATTTTTGTAATTTTAGTTTGCATTTTTCTTGTAATGAAGTTCAGGTTAATTGCCATATATGTTTCCTTTTCTGGGAGCAACCTGTTCTTGTTCTTTGCCCAATTTTATATAGGACTGTTGGGATTTTTTCTTATTAATTTGTAAGAGCTCTTTATATATTAAGGTCATCAATGGTCATTTGTATTCAGTTTGGCACATAATGTGCAACTATTTTATGGTCTTTTGTAGTGCAGAATTTAAAATTTTTATATAGTCTGGTTTGTAGTTTTTTTTTCCCTCTTTTGGCTTCTATTATGTATTATTCTCAGAAAGGTGCACTTTGAGGGGCAGAGGGCAAGCAGTTGTGTAGCTGGGCTTGATGTCAGAACACCTTGGACTCAGGTCCTGACTCCATCACTTAGTAATTTGTACTTTGGGTAAACTAATTTAATCTCTCAGTAGCTTGGATTCCTTGCCTATGAAATGGAGGAAGTGATTCCTACCCCACAGATGTGTTGTAAAGACCAAACAGAATGGCATCATAAGCTGACAACCAAGGCTGTGGCACCAGTCTGATTCCCCTCTCACTCGTTGTAGCTATCCCCAGTCTGTTGGCCCTGAATCAGAAAGCTGGGGAGCTGCTGGCGGAGGAGGAGGAGGAACACATGGTGGCAAAGTTCTCTTTGCATGCTGTGGCATGATGAAGGGCGTGAGCTCCCCACAATGAGGACTTCGCTTGGGGAGGTCGGCGCGAGGAATCTGGGAGAGAACCTGAGTGTCCACCCATCCCCGACAGCAGCCTGTGGGACTGAAAAAGCAGAGGCAGGCAAGCGCCAGGCTGAGGGGGACTAGAAAAGCCCTGAAGCTGGACCTGGCTGTAGGGTGCTGAATGGTGGCTCCCAGAAGATGTCCACCTGGAGCCCAGGACTGTGACCTTACTTGGAAAAAGAGTCTTTGCAGATGTAATTAAATTAATGGTCTCAAGATGAGATCACCCTGGATTAACCAGGTGGACCCTAAATCCGATGACAAGCGTCCTTGTGAGAAGAGGAGACACACACAATGGGGAAGGCCACGTGAAGACAGAGGCAGTGGTGGGGGTGATGCAGCAGAGGCCGAGGAATGCCGTGAGCCACTGGAGGCCAAAGAGGGAGGAAGGATTCTCCCCAGGAAGGAGCGTTTCCCTGCTGTACCTGGATTTTGGACTTAGGGCCCCCAGAACTATCAGAGAATAAATTTCCCTTGTTTTAAGCCACCAAGTGTGTGGTAAGGTGTTACGGCAACCACAGAAAACGGTCACTGTGCTGTGGACCCCGGGCGGGTCACCTGGGCTCCAGGCTCTGGTGAGGGAAGGGGAGGGCTCTCGTGGCTGGCCAGTGCGCGGAGATTGCTTCGTGCTCCCGAGAGGAGGCGCTTTTGAAGAGGTTGGAGCGCAGTCCTGCTGGGCCAGACGCCACCGACTCGGCCTGACAGCGCGTCCCATGAGGCCCAGCTTCTGTGCCCTGCAGCAGCCTCCCACGTGGAAGCACCCACGTGCTGGATGGTCGGCCTCCGCCCAGGGCAGGGACAGGGCAGCCCTTGCTCCACTTCACTGGGAAAAGCTGAGAATCTTCCAGGAAGCGGAAGCTTGCCGAGTGCGTATCTGGGGGAGCCAGAGGGCCGCTGCCCACAGCCTCCCCCCAACAGTGTCCCGTCCGCCTTTGTGCAAAGCATGGGCCTCATGTGGGGCTTTCACAGGTGCATCTTTGGTTGGGGTGAGGAGGAAGAGAGATGTGCAGGGTCATTTTTGTTAAAATTCAGAGGCTGCCTGAGGAAATGGTGAACGAGTGGAGAGGACTGACCCTGGGTAATGTAGTTCCGTGTTCAGAAACCCTATTCCTTGTTGGCTGCCCAAACAAGGGAGGGGTGAGGGGCTGGCCAAAGCCGCCCTGTCTAAAACCTCCGAGTGAAGTTGTTCCCTAAGGAGCTTCTGAGTTCAGTGCTGTCCCCAAGCCCCATAGTGAAGTGATCAACTGCCCCTGGAGATGGGGACACACCAGGGAGGGAAGGTGGTCAGGTCACAGTGAAGCACACACGTGGGCGGTGCACTCTGTGTTAAAGGATGCTAATGCTTGAAAGGGAAGCTATACCTCCCTTCTCCGAGCAAAAACATGTAAATCTCAGCTTCGCTGTTCCCCCAATGCCTGGAATTTCAGGGATGAGGGAAGAGGGGGGATGGGATAGTTGGGGAGGGAGAGCCCCAGGCCCTTAGTGTGGACAATGCCTGTGGTCAGCCTCCCTCTCTCCCTATGCGTATGTGTAACTTTGAACTCTGGAGGCACTGCTAGTTGCGGGCTGTCACTGACAGTACATGCTTCAGAGAATTAGCACAAAGCTTGCATGAGTCCGAAAGCACTGAACTCAGAAGCAACTTGAATTTTCACACTAATCAGTAGTCATCACAAAATTAAAAACACCAAAATTAAGAGCAAATTCCTGAGAATCACCTGAGTTCCGAAATGCTTTGATGCTTTGTCTGGAATCACGAGCACTGCCATCTCTCAGTATCATCTGAGGTATGTCTGTATACAGCTGCATCATAAACTCTTTAAGTGAGTTTAAGTTTCTGGAAAACTTGTTTAAAGGTGAATTTTATTCCATACATTGTCAGTTTTTATTTTAATAAAGGTTTTTGTATATATGTTTATATATACATGAAGTTATATATACACATATGCACACACAACTTTGAACACCTGGCACCATGCTGGGCATACCACAGGATGTGGTGGGATGTCTGCCCCCTTCTCCCTCACTGTGGGCTTCTCAAACTCACCTGGGAGCTTCAGCAGCAAAGACTCCTGGGTCCCAGCTTGGTCGGTCCAGGTTGTAAAGTCTCCCTGGGACTCCTGTGCATCCTGGTGTGGAAATCACTTCTTCAGTGTCCTGAGTGGGTAAAGGACTCAGGCCTGGACAGGAATCTGTGTCCAAGTGAACAGAGAGGACTACCCCAGCTGTGGGTTGTCAGGAGCCCAGGAGGCTGGGAAAGCCTAGCCCCAACCTCTCCCTCAGGAGGCTCAGGAGGGAAAAGAGGGTGAAAGCATTCTCTCCTAAGGTGGGGGATTTTGCTTCTGTTTACTCTCTTGTTCTCAAAGCTAATAATTATTTTTAAAAAGCCATCCTTTGAGGAGGGACCCAAGATGGCGGTGTGAGTAGAGCAGCAGAAATCTCCTCCCAAAACCACATTTATCTATGAAAATATAACAAAGACAACTCTTCCTAAAATAGAGACCAGAGGACACAGGACAACATCCAGACCACATCCACACCTGCGAGAACCCAGTGCCTCACGAAGGGGGTAAGATACAAGCCCTGGCCCAGAGGGACCCGAGCGCCCCTCCCTGCAGCTCCCGATGGGTGGAGAGGAGTCAGCAGGGAAAGAGAAGGAGAAGGAGCCCAGGACTGCTGAACACCCAGCCCCAGCCATCCAGACCAGAGCACAGACACAGTGCATGCGTGGGGTCCTGGATACTAGGGAAACAGGGCGGCAGGACCGGTGAGCGGATGCCTGAGGCCGACGCCAGAGAGCAAAGAAACTGGAGCGGCCTTTTTTTTTTTTTCCTCTATTTTTTTTTTTTTTGGCGAGTGCTTTTTGGAAGTCTTAAAGGGACAGGGACCCTAATACTAGGGAAACAGGGAAGCAAGA